AACCGAATTAACTGTAGCAGCATGCGTTGAACCGCCAACACCAGCAGCAACTACACCACGACCAGTGCCTCTATCACGGCCGCGTCCACTCTTGGATGAACCCCGTGAAGCTCCACGATCAGGCCAGCCTTCAGGATAACCGTGAAGTTGGAAACAGGTTGACACGTCGTGATGGGGACGATTACAGTGGGTGCAATGCAAGGCTGGTTCACGTGCAACACTGCGTCCACCAAAAGCTGAAGCCGAATTGGCACCAAACACCATAGCATCGCCGGAAATAGACTGGGGAAGAGAAGCAGCAGCCGTCTTCACAGCAAAGCTCACCAAATCAGTGGGGGAAGACGTTGCTTGAGCAAGTTGATGCATCCATTCAGCCTGAACCATAGTCGAGTCGACTTTGTTCAATCGTGGCAATGGATCCTGGGCCAACAAGTTTGATCGAGTTATACCATAAATATTATCATCCAATCCGAGAAGGAATTGATGCACCTTCTCCTCCTCAACACGTTTATCAGCAACGGCAAAGAGATTGCATTCGCAAAGGCCGAACGAACACGTCGGAAACCGATCATATGTGCATAATTCTTCCCATAATTTCTTCAGGGGGCCATACTAGTATACAGCCATGGACAAACCCGTCTGACGACAACTTGCTAATTCAGCCTTGAGTTGCTGAATTCGGGGCCCATTGACCAGAGCTCGGCGGCGACTTCGGGCTGAGTGATCGTGAATCAAAGACTTGGTTCTATGGTGTTCATGATCCAGGAACAAATAAGTGAATTAATTGTCCACCAATCATCATAATCGGCAGAAGCAGGAGGCGGCTCCTTAATGGTGCCTTCGACGAAACTGAATTTCTTCTTCCCACGAAGCCCGACCTTAACAGAACGCCATCACTCATCATAATTGCTCTCCCCTTTGAGCTGAACCTGAGTGAGGATATAACCGGGTCCGTCATTGGCGGTGATGTCGAACGAGTGAGATTGTTTTACGACGAACAACATCATCCGAAGAGCCACTTTCGGAAGTGACTTCAGCCGCCTTGCCGGTGTCTTTTTCAGAAGGATTAGTCATGGTAATCCTTCGATTGATACCATAACAAGAGTAATATGAAACTGGAAGAAAGTCTGATAAACGGTAGGGTTTGTTATATACACATTTACAATTACCAAAACCTTAGGTAACTAAGTAGCTAAGGATGTGCTTGTTTAGTGGGTGTCATATCTAGGTTATGGGTTTGAAATCTATTTTTATTACTTGATTCAATAATGTGGAATGACACTAGCTCACTTTGTTGATTTTCAATCCCATTTACTGTTCAATTTTCCATTCCCATCTATTTGGGTGGGTTTGAATCTAAGCAATAAGAATTTTATTTTTTCACATTATTTACCCTTATCTTCGTCTCCTTACAACGACTTTTTCGTCCAACTCCTCTACTTCCTCCATAGCCACCATGCTTCTCCTTCTTCCACCATAGCCACCACAGCCACCATGCTTCTCCTCCACTTCCGCTATAACCACCAAAATTCAGAACTAGTTCAAATCCATCTCATCCTATTGAAAATTTTGAAGTATATATCCTATCTTCTTCTTGATATTCTTCTCCCTCTCTTGATTTTGTGATCATGACACCACGACCATGGGAAGCTGCCAAGATTTGATTATTCAGAAGGCTCACTATCTATTTCTAACTCCCCGGTGTCAACCAAATTCACCATTTTCTGAGCCACCACTTTCATCAATTCTTCTTATGCCGCAAATTTTGGACGAAACGGCTTCAATACCGACTTTCTTCTAAATCTATTCTCAAAAGGTTAAAAACAATGAAAACTTGGATAGAAAAGGATCTAGACATCGTCGTTGTCACCGACTTTTTAATTCAGAAAATTATTATGATTGGTTTAATTTTTGCCTATTGGTGATTTTCTGTTAGGGCTAAAGATGACATTTCTGGTTAATTTTCATTCCAAAATGTTATGTTACCAAGCACTAGATATGGGAATGATAGTTCACTAGAAAATGTCGTAGAAATTAGGATACTATCAAACCACATTTAAATCATATCTCACTATTTTCATACCTACGATCCAGGCGAGGTTAAGTAAATACACACATTTACTATATTTACAAAACTCTAACTCCGTAATAATTTCAATACAAATTTTAAGAATTTCAAGTGAAAAATCAACGGGAAATTTTTTTTTTTTTTTTTTTTTGGAAAGAGTGGAAACTGGTAACATTCTCGCTATACAGGCCATTAATATATGGGGCATTAACATTACCACCCTTCAGGTTTCCATAATTATGAACGGCACCCTCTTCATTTTGAAAATTACTAAATGGTCCCCTGTTCGGCTATATAATTTTGAGATGAACCTGTTGCAAGAAAAGTCAGAATAAAATGAGGAGAACCTGATAATTCATCAAGAGGCCTATTCTAAATTTTGCGGAATACGGAATGAAGATTTGGGAAATTCCACAATATATTGGTGTTATTGTTATATTATATAGAGATCGATTGCATGCGATGTTCACGTTCATACTGAATTAATGCTTTTGATTTTATCAACACAAATATGTCCACAACAAAATGTGACACGTACGGCAAGTGAATTGCAACATAAATTGAACTATCCAAATTGGCAGGAAATGAGATAATTTAATTGAATTATCTTTTGTTTTGCAACACACGGTTTATAGTGATTGTGGTACCACACACCTTTAGTAAGTTGAAATTCCTTGAAGCAAAGGAAATTTGTGATGTCACTTTCTGTTTCCACCTTTGTAGCAAACCATATACATCATCAATGTAACAATAGTGGACTCAAATGTATGCAAAGAAAACATATAGGATGCCATACTTCTTTAATTTTATTCTTTTTTTCTCCTCGAGATTACACATTTTAAAGATATTTAAAAGTGAAATTAATATAAAATGTTCGACAACATTTGGCCATGTTGATTGAAAGAGACATTTTCGAACTGAAGCGGTTAAATTCGAAATGCACAATAATGTACTCCCCATTCGGTCATTATTATAAGGCATTTTAATTTTTCTTAAATTTCACTTAATACATATTTTTAATTAACAAAAAAAATTTAAAATTATATTTTCACATTTGTTGTGTTCTCTTGATTGTTATGAAATATTTTAAGGTTTTTTTGTCGATAAAAAATGTATACTAGGTTAAACCTATGACAGATCAAAATGCCTTATATTAAGGACCGGAAGAAGTATTATAATAGTTAAAGAAAACTTTTAGTAATCATACTACTCCCTCCATTCCAAAATAAGTGTCATCCTACACTTTGCACATAATTTAAAAAAAGTCTTAAATATGATAACAAAATTACTTTAATATCCTCAACTAACCCCATCAAAAAAATGTCCACTAATAGTATTAATTCTTTTGAAGGTAATTGTGAAAATTTTAGACAAAAATTGCATTGAAATGTGAGAACGACATTTATTTTGAAATTTCTTTATTTTGCTAAAACGACACTTATTTTGGTATGGAGGGAATACTATTTTTATAGATAAAAAAAGGTAACGAGAGAAGCAAATCTGGAATTGGGAGAGCATCCTGGTAGTTGGAAGTCTTTCTCAAAAGTTGTAACAAACGTCGACCTTGAATTAATTAGGAAATTAACTTCCAACATCAAATAGATTAATAATCGTTTTTCTTTTTGTGAAAGATTTTCTTATACCTTGTAAGATTTTCTGAAGTTACCCCCAACATTTTGGGCTTGTTTGGCCAATATTTTGTTTTAGTTTTTGTTTTGGATTTGGGTTTGAAATGTGATTTAAAATTTGATTTGAGATAAAATTTAAAAAATTATTTGAGTGATATTTTAAATAAATTAATTATATTTTTAGACCACCATTGGACCACCTCCACCACCGCCGTTGCTGCCGGACCGCCCGTCGCTGCCGTCGGCCCGCCCGCCGCCGCCGTCGAACCCCGGCGGCCGACGGCCGGCGGCCAACCGGATTCCAACCAAATTCCGGCCACCGAAATTTGGCTAGAATCCGGTCGGCCGGCCAGCGGCGGCGCGTGGTGGTAGAAGTGGTCCGGTAGTAGTAGATGAAAATTGTGTAAAAATAATTTTTAGAATATTTTTTAAAAGGTAAATTAAAAAGTTATTTGAATAGTATAGGAATTTGTGTTTGACAGGTGTTTTAAGAGGTAAAATGAGACAAAAATGTAAAATAAGTATCGGGCAAACAAGCCCTTTATATCTTGAGTTCCAACATATTATGCCATTATGGCACCCCAAATTTTTGCCTCATGCATGCATTCACAATCGGTGTCTCGATGACATAAAATGAGAGCTGGTTGCGTTCATGGGTGCAAAATGAAGTGCTTATATCGTCGATTTAACGAGACGTGTTCCGGGAAAGACGGGGTTTTTTCGATAATACAAGGGGCATAAATTAGGGAAGTGGATTGTAATCAATACTTCAAACCACTCCATTAATTTTAATATTCCCTCCGTCCCACAAAAATAGTCCACATTGAATTTTGAGTCTTATACTGTTTTTAATACAAATCTAAAAACTCAATGTGTAATATTTTTGTGGGACGGAGATAATATTTCTTATTGACTAACTATATATACCCACAACCCTAAGTTGATGTAATTCCTTAGAGAATCAATTATTCAACCCACTAAGGTGCTAGCTAAAGAGACGGGTAAAAAGCTAAACACCTTGCAATGCGTAAATCAAAACATGAGAGAAGGGTATAGGAATGCAGGAAAAAAAAATAATTTGCGACATTTTTATTTTACGTTTTCTTTTCCGGTTTTTTTTTTTCTGACTGATGTAACCTAAATAACTAACTTACTACTTATAATTAGAATATGTCACGATGAGTGTAACAATTCAGAAAATCAAATGTCAAAATGAATATTGTTGTCACGGTGTAAATATGTTGTTAATAATAATTTTTTGAAAAGAAGGAAAAAAGAGAGGAATTCATGTGTAGAGAATTAATTTGGATATGGGGGGTGGAGGGATGATATGATGGTGGTGCAACCCAAAAAAAAAAAAAAAGTTAGTGAGAGAAAAAAAGACAAATAACAACCGAACTATAAAACTTATTAACTATGAGAGTGTGAGAGAGAGAAGAAATGGAATTATTTTAGAGAGAAAAAAAAAAAAAAACAAGAATTGGTGCAATTTGGAGGAGTTGTTGCACTCTCCTAGTCTCTCCCTTTTTTCCTCCAAAATCTGTCTGTCAATCCACAGAGACTGACTCCGAAGAGTCTGCCATATAACCATTTCTTCACAAGCTACTAATATCCATCCAACTCCTCATCTGGGTAGCTTTGTTTCAATAATCCAAAAGCCCCTCACCTCACTGTTAATTCGGAGGAGTTCAATTCATACTAATCCCATGAGGATCAGAAACCGGTTTCCACCTGCCACCCCACCGCCGCCGCCGCCGCCGCCCTCATCTTCAGCAGCCCCTCTTCCGATCCCATCAGATCCCCAACTCATAAGCCGGTCATCGGTTTTGCCTCCACCACACCACCTACCCTCTGTGGTGCAAATTCCCACCAAGTCGTCGGACAATTCAACTCCTCATCGTCCTCCTAATCAAGAAATGATAAATCCCAGATGGGGTTTGCTCACTAGTAGTACTATTACTACTCCACAGGTAAAATCATTCATTCACTTTTTTTAAAAAAATAAAATAAAATTACTAGTATTTTTTTTTTCTTTTTTTTTTGTGTGTGTGTGGTTGTAATTTAGACCATTATATATTCAATGGAGGGGTGGTTATGGATGGGTGCAACAACTACTACTACTTTACTCATATGCTCTTCTTATATATATTACTGTAATCTTGACTTCATCAGTGAGTCCATTATGATTTTGCAGGAAATCAATAAGAGGAGGAAGGATGATGATGATGAAACTAGGAAACAACAAGATGAACAAGAAGGATTTGGAGATCATAAGAATAAGAGGAATAATGATTCAAGGTACACTAGAATAAAGTTACTTCTTTCTAGTTTCACTTCTTCCCAAGTGTACAGCTTGCCTTTTTTTCATTGAGTTCCTTTTTGGTTGTTTTATTTCTTTAAAAAAAAAAAAAGAAGGAAGAGAATAAATGTTAGTGTTAGACACATACAAAGTGGAAAAACTATTTGGAGTTTGGGAGTGTTACACTTATAATAATAATAATAAGAATTCAATATATTCAATATCTTTTTGGCTATATGCACCATAACTCCCATCCCATCACCATCACCATCTCATCTCTAAATATCTCTACATCTTCCTCTTTCTTCTGTCCCTCTATTCTTTTTGCATTTTTCCTTTCTTTTCTATGTTTATTAGGAGCAAAATATATATATATATATATATATGCATTATTCATATGCATGGCCCGGGCCCTGGCCCATGTGATGATGCATGTTACGAGCATAAAATACCTGGTCCCCTATAATATTAATAGGCCATGCTCAGTCCAAGCCTCAAATAATGCGTCTTTTCTTCTCCTCTTTTTGTTGCACTAGCCATTTGTTTATTGGTTCCTTTCTTATTTTTTCTGCACTCATATATGTCTGTATCTCAAAATGGTTCGTACGTACTTGGGAGTTATGGATGTCTTCATCTGCTGCCATTTCTTTACCTGCTAATTTTCCAGGAAAGGTGCAGAACTGGACACTAGTGTTGTTCATTTGGGACAAACATTTTATCCGTACTCTTCTCCCCAAGGTGCATTATTAATTTCTTTATTATTATTTTTTTTTAGGTGATCAAGAATTGCATAATTTATCTTTACACACTTAGAGAGATTGATGGCTGTTTAATTAATTCCGCTCTACTCTTGATATTTGCAGTTGTTGTTGGGAGATGTTTGGGTGATCAAGGAGATGACGATGATGATCTCAAAGGAAATGTTGTTGTTGCATTGAAGAAGAGAAAGGAGATGAGCTTTGATATTCAAAGCGACATTATCAACATGACGACCAAGGATCCAGAGACATGTTCCCACAACAAAAACAAGGACGATATCGATCCAAAAATGAAATGCAAGACGAACAAGAAGTGTTTGTTGACACCCGAGCAAGATAGGCCACTAATCAACCGGGGCGTTCATCAACATGAAGAAGGTGTTGTTAATAATATCATCAAACAAGAAGGTGGTGGTCTTGATGATATTTCTACTAATGGCAAAACCAGCAAGAAGGTGAAAGTGAAAAAGGTACGAGGAACCGAAATTTTGGAGGGGTCGCGATGCAGCCGGGTTAACGGACGAGGATGGAGGTGTTGGCAGCCAACGCTGGTTGGATATTCATTGTGCGAGCATCATTTAGGCAAAGGCAGGCAAAGGAGCACCAGTACTACTAGTTGTAGTAGTAGTAAACGTGTCCGAAGCACAAACAATAACAATCAAATTGCTGCAATTGCACCAACACAATCATCATCGAGATTAATAATCCCAGGAGAAGAAGAGAAAGGCACAGAGATCAGTAACCCTAGCAGAGATGATGATCATCATCAAGAAGGGGAAATGAACACAAGTCATCACCATCATGTGGTGAAAGCTAGATCGATTAGCAGTCTCTTAGGCCAAACCACCAACAATACTGTGGATAATAGGGTTGTCACTAGCAGTAGCTCGTAGCTGATTATAAATAGGTGCATTTCAAATTAACATTGTGATATACTATTTGTTTGTGTGTGCATATGATCTTATTGTTGTCTCTTTGTTTGTTTTTTTAATAATATCATCTAATGTAAATTCATTATTATCCAACTCAACTCAGCAATATATTTTATTGTATTATTTTAGTTCAATAGAATTTATAGTATTATTATACTAAGAGAGAAACCACAAAGAGAAATCAAAAAAGAATTCTAAAGTTGCCACATCAGGTAAAATCCTATGTGTCATTTTTCTAATGCTTGAGTCAAAAAATATTTACAACAATTATATTAATAGTCTTTTAAATTTTATGTAAATAAAGTTTTATCAAATCGCATTTAAAACATTAGTTCAAAATAGGAAAATGAAAATTAATTGAATTGAATGGACGGGATTAATGAACATTAATGCACCGAAATTATGATCCCCAAGATTACTATTGGACTCATTAATTAATCACTCACCAAAAATATCTCCTGCTCAATCGTATAAATCAATAGACTACAATTCAAAAAAAAATCAATCAATCAATCAACATTACTGTATTAATATTGCTCTTTCCTGTCCATTTAGTACATGACACAAATAAAAATAAAAAAAACAAGCAATTCCCTTCACGAAATAATCTCCATTCACTCACGAATTAAAACAAATAAGTTAACATTAAATACACAATCAATCAAAATTAATCGCCATACATATTATATCGTCACTCAATTAGGGTTTTAATTTTTCATAATTTATGGCTACATATTCCAGTATAAACACTAACAGAAAATCTCAAATCAATCAATCACATGCACATTTGCCATGGACGAAAAGGTTACCACCAATGATATTTACTTTATTGATATCACCATGCTAAATTGTATCATTCTCTATAGATATGTGTTTATATTGTTGATTGCAGGGATAAAGCTCGAGGCCCTCGGCCCGTGAAAAACTCTTGTGAAAGTTTAGCACTTTTGAAAGAAAGCATAATCAAAATCATTATCGTCATAAATTTTTATCGAGGTTAGAAAATTCAAAGTTACCTTTTTCTTCTACCTATTATATTTTAATTTTGATTTGTTGCTATTGAGTTATGCTAATACTTGTGCACCGAAATCTCACTTAAAGAATCCAAATGTTTTGACGAGTCACTTAGAAAATTACACTTTGTTAAATAATTGAATTGATTTTTTTTTTTATTTTAAATTAGTACAAAACAAATGGTGGGTGGTGTTATGTTGCATGAATGAGTTCATTTTTGTCTGTATTAACAAATTACCTAGAGCAAGAAATGCTAAGTTTGAAATGATGTTTCGGGAAATATCAATCTTTATCTTTCAAAATTGTCATGTCTTATAGTTTCTTTTAAGACTTTCACATTTTATGCTTGGTACATGTACACAGTAGTCTTGACCAATTGGTGGAGTTGATTAAAAAGAGATACTTGGGAGAAACGGGTGAATGTATTCTCCACATTTTCAATATTGTGTTTATTTTAAAATTTAACTTCTTTTCTAGGAATACTTATCAATACAATTTCTATTGTAGGTTGACACTGGAATTGTTGTTCTTAAAGCATAACTGGAGTTGAACTAATGCCTATTCCTTTGAGTGGGATCAACGATGATGAGGATGACCTTTATTTTATCAAAAAAAAATTTTATTCTTTTCTTTCTTTCTTTCTTATTATTTTTTCTAAGGAAAAACATTAATGACCTAACAAACCGTGGTGTTTGATAGTAAGAGACGTGAATATCACCCAAAAATCTGTCAAACTTATTCAGTCCCTAATTATGCAAGTTAATTCACGTTATCTAATAAGTATTAAATTAAAAAATAAATCTCAAATTAGTTATTTAATTTTAAAAAATTTCGTTGAATAAATAGAAAAAAGGAAATAAAATAATCCAGGTCTCATGGGCAATCTCAAATATCTTATATGACGTCAAGATAATTTTGTATTAAAGGAAATACCAATTTTAAATCTCTGAATATTAATTTTATAACTCTTTATATGTATATATACCTAATTTAGCAATAGATTTGTGGTCTTTTTGTTTCCTTTTTGTCAAATTTGTATAATATCGCGATTGTTCATTTTTTTTTATCTCAGAAAATTTATGGTAAAAAAACACAAATCATTCTCTTTCATTTTTCATGTCATCACATTTATTTTTGCACAAAATTCTAACAACTATTTTTTTGGTAATTATGATTCCACAACTTTAATCTTTTTTAAAAACAATTTTACGTGTAATTATTAAATAATTATAATCTACTCAGCATATCGCGCGGGTATAACATCTAGTAGACTATATATTAAAAATGAGACTGAGAGAGTATCGCATGTTATTCTTTGGATGATCATCAATATTCGAAAGCCAACTTGATTGGGAGATTTCCATTTCTTGATTGAAGGAAATTATGCATGAGTTTTAAATATTATTTAGGATTTATATTCCCAGATAGTGTTGTTCTGAAGTGACATGGCCTATGATGCTACTACTACTACTACTACTACTACTACTACTAATAATAATAATAATAATAATAATAATAATAATAATAATAATAATAATAAATTTTATTATTATTATTATTATTGAACTATTAAATAATTTCAATACATGCCATTAATTAAATTTATTTCCCAAAATAAGTAAATTTACTAAACCAAAAATCCATTCGACATTAATAATACCTAGACAAAACATAATAATACATAGACGAAGTTTTATACTTAACCTAATCTAATGGAAAACTTAAAATTACTATCTAACTACGTTGACCCCTGCCTAATAACAATTAAAAATAATAAATCACGAGCATCTACTTAAAAAGAAATTTCGCTTTGGAAGTGACGAAGGCATTGCTCCGACGGCTATAACAGTATCAAAACACTAGAACTTGTAAAAAAGGGTCTCGGGATTTTCTGAAGGTAGATTCTCCGATACTTAAATCAGTAATAGTATTCATAAGAGATATGAAATTAGGATGCATAGATCGTACATTTAATGAGAGGAGTTAATCCCTATTTATAGTGTTAGGTTATGAAACCATTTCTTAGTAGAATAATAATTAAGAACCTACCTAGAAGCTTCCCAATAGTCGGTTGGATTATCTCTTGAACTTGGGCCGGCCTCGGTTGAGGGCCGTATTATTTTAGACTCATCGGGAAGCGTAGACATAGAGTCGAAACAAGAAGTTATTAGTCTTGTCACATCATTAATTATCTTATTTTATTTTTTGTTTTCACTATGAACAGTTCTTCCATTTCCTAGAGACAGGAGGGTATGATGAGCTGTCAGCATTTGAACAGCCACCCTATCTAAGGAGGTTATGCCTTCACTCTAATGTAGATCATTTCATCGATTCGAGGGTGTATTTCTCTCGTGTTCGCTCTTTGCGTTTCAAGTATTCCAAAGAAGAATCGTTGGAACGAGACTTGTCGTCGATAATGCACGTCTACCAATTTCTAAGAGTGTTGGACGTGGAGAACCTTGAGCTAGATGTGATTCCAAGTGAAGTCGGGCTTCTGGTTCGGATAGCTTACCTCGCAGTTGGAGGCCGTTTTGCGAACATCCCACCATCAGTAAGTAACCTCTCCAATTCGGAAACGTTGTCTTGAATCACCTTCGATCTTTGCAGTTTCCATCGCCGGATAATTTCTGGAATATGCGGCAATTAAAGCAGTTATATGTTAGGGGAGATCTAATTAGTGGTGGCGGTGTTTTGCCTGTGGAAAATGTTGATAGCTCATCTGCCTTACATGGCTTGGAAAGGATTTCTGGTGTTGTAATTTCTTATGCGGGCAGCAAACGGGTGATGGAAAAGTTTCCAAACATTCGTAAGTTGAAATGCAGATTTGAGGGATTTAAGAATGAAGAGAGGGATGTGGTTGAGATTGTTGTTCCTGACATTTTGAGTCATCTGGAATCACTTCATATGGCAATTGATGAATATAGACTCCATAAGGACTTTGATATTGTGGTCCTTTGAAATTCGTTCGTGGAGCGGTTCTGATGATCATTTTGGATGTCTTGAGCAGCTGGAATTGTATAAATATTGCTACCGACAGGAAGAAATGCCGTCTTGTCTAGAAACCATTCCGACACTTGAAATGATCAAGGTCAATTATTGTTCTGCAACCGTAGTAGAGTTTGTGAAAAATGTTGAGGAGGTACAGTTGGACTATGGAAATTCAGACCTGACTGTAATTATAAAAGAAGCAGGCCATTGATTTTCTCCAGAACGCCATCAGGAAGGAATTATAGGACAAGTGAAATGCTGATTGCAGTTCGTTGGGCTGCTATTTTAGTGTATACTATGTAATTCTTACTTTCTTTATGGCAGTTTCCTGTAAGTTGCTGAAAATAAGTTTTTTTTCTTGAAGAACAAAAAAAGAAGGATCAGTTAAATAATTGATTGATAATTTTGATACAATTTTAGTTAAGAGAATGGAATGCACACTTTTTCCTGCTTCTTTAACACAGATATTCTAATTAGCTAGGTTGTTGTGACATATGTGAATCACTTTTCTAACTGCTACTATTTTGTTTGTCCAATCTATTACTCCTAAGTAAGCAACCACGTCAAACCACTTCCATTGATGAATAGTATAACGTGTAGCAGTTAAGTAAACACACACGCATAACTTGAGAACGTAAAGACGAATGTGCACAAACAGTTGATGATGCAACTTATAATTATATAATACTTTGGTGGCAGAGAGATGGAAATGGGTGAGGAAACAAGCAAATTTTCTGATTGGTTTAGGGTTGTGAAATACAGACAGTCAGAGAGAAGGTAGAATCAGAAGAGTGGGTGCTAATTTACTTTTATCTGACTTCATCTAAATTGTTCCCGTTCTTTGCATCAGCTTCTTCTGTGGAATGAAAGATGAAGGTAGGAAGAAAGAATGGTTCATCTCAGATCAGTTTTGCATTCTACTCAAACCTTCTCCTACAACTCTTTTTCAAATCATTTTGGATACACCGCAGTCAAGTTGTATCACAACACATGAAGCCTCCACTCTCCATTCAATCAAGAATGTCGCAGATGAATGGTAGTAGAAATGAGGGGGAAAAAACAAGAAATGTGATGTTATAAGTGTCATTGGTTTATGAATTCTTTCATGAAATCAAAGCATTTTTAGATGGAACCACCGGAGAGAGAGCAATTGCAAAACCTCCTGCTGAACGAACAAGTTAATTTTTTTTTCGCTTTTGTCACAATAATTAATTACTGACCATAAAACCCAACTTCTTAACCCAAAAAATCCTGACCATAAAGGGTTTTTTTTTTTTAAGTAGAATTACTGCATAAATCTTACTACATATTAAAGGAATTTTTTTCAAAAGACATGTGTCAGTTAATTAGACCATCGATAATTTTTAAGTACACATGTCATCTTTTAATTTGTTGAGAATTTTGTGTAGTACACATGTCATCTTTTAATTTGTGGATGTTTTTATTGGGTATTTTATACTAGCAATATGATTATTTTAAACACAGTCAAATGGTTATTTTCTTAAAAAAAATACCTTTCTACGAATTAGAAGATTAACCCAATGATCTCCGAATCATCACTTTGAACACAAAAATACCTCCGGCCACAAATACCTCTGGACACACCGATTAGAGAATTGACATCATCGCCGGCTAAATTTTGCCGAGTGCAATTCAAAGATGTATATACAACAGCATTGATTTATATATAGCAGCGTTTATTCCCACCAAAAACTCCGGCAAATGATATCTTCAAAACTTCGCGGGAAACTATTTTTTTCTGATCAAATGTTTCATCTCCGGCATATCAATCCGAATTTATATCTTCTATATTTTGCTTCTTGAGAGATGAAATCAATCCGAATCTTTTCATTCTGTCCACTGCTAAAACTTGGACATTGAAGAAAGCTCAATTTTTCTTTTCCAAAATTGTATTTTGGACATACAAATTTAAATATTAACCAAAACCTCTAGAGAAAATTTTCTTTGGAGTTTTTTTGTCATTAAACAACAAAATGAAAGAGTATGTAGCCAACTGATGTCTGGGTGGGAGACGAAATGATGAAGGATTGGGGTGGCGGCTGGAAAAAAGTAGATATGATAGGGTTTTTAATTGGTTCATTAAACCATAAAAACGATATGTAAAACTATTAATCCACGGTGATTATTTTTCTTCTGTATTTACTTAGCTTACTTTAGTTAATTTACTCTATCTATCGTTCATGTTTAGTAAGATACTATTATCCAAAATATAGCCAATTAATAATAATCAAGAATTTGAATACTACACTAAATTTGGTGGGCGTTAAATTTATGTCCATGATGCGATGATTACAATTGTAAATTAAACTATAAAAACCATTTTTCATACCTAAAATATCTCTTATCTAAAACTAATCAATTAAAGCCTTCAATCAAATTGAAAAAAAAACTTTAAATTTCTCTAATCCCTTTATATTGTGATACGATGATGATTTCTTGCCAATTTCTCTCCCCATTTTTTTTTCTTTACAATAAGTAATCCCCGCTACATACGTTCAATCAGCCGAAAGCATCTTATGAGGTAACTAGGTTCTCTCTCGTGCGTTGCACGGAATTTATTAAAATGATTTTTAGTTATAAAAAAAATACAATGTACTCAATTAATGATTGATTATAAAATAAATTCTAAAGAAAAATGGATAATACAAAAAATAAGTGAACAATAAAAAATGAGGTAAAAAAAAAAAGACAATGTGAAGTGGCATTAGTATTATTATAATTTAAAATTTCTTTGGCATTAGTATTAATTTAATTTAAAATTTCTTTGAGCTTAAATATTAGGGCTGCAAATTCGGGCGGTTCGGTGCGATTCGGATGAAATCGATTCGGGTTAATCGGATTTTTTCCCTCACAAGACCCGCCCAAAACCGAATCGAAAAATCTATTGCACTGAACCGAACCGGCCTATTAAAAACTCAGGTTAATCAGTTCAGTTTTCAGACTAACCGAAACTAACATACAGAAATGATATTCATTCTCTTTTTCTTCTGAATTCAACAGCCCTACTCAAAATTCAACATTCGACACAAATATTCATATCAATTCAAGAAGAAAGCAAAAGAAATAATGAACTAGCAAAAAGAAACAATAATTTTCATAAAGCCGAAAATAAAAAACAACAATCCCAACACCCAAAATTCCCAAGCCTTCAAAAATCCAGATCTTGAAAAAATGGGGGAGATCGTGAAGCACCAGAACGAGTTAAAATTCAGATCTGGAACCAACTTCCTCCTCCTCTTTCTTCCTCATTTTCACGCGGTCGTTTTTCTCTTCTCCTTCTTCTGGAGGGCGGTGGCAGTCGTTTCTCTCTTCTCCTTCTTCTGGCAGAAGGCAGCGAATTAGATTGCTTCCTCCTTTTTGGGCGAGTGATGACGGCGGGAGACAGTGGAGATTTGAAGATGAAGAGATTGATGTTGTTGAGATTTGGATTTTGGAGATGCTGATTGAAATTTGAAGAATTGAGATGAAGAAGATGTTGGGAGAGGGTGGCAATCGGCTGTAAGTTTTTTACGAAGAAAGATTCAAATAAATGAGGTGGGAAGGGGAATTGGTAGGGTTAATGTTTTTTAAATATATATATATATATTTAATTAATAGTTCAGGTTATCGGGCGAGAGCCGAACTAAATTTTTCCCGCCTGTACCCACACCGAATTGTCCATTCGGTTAATCGGGTATAATAAAAAACCCCAAAATTAACCTGATTACCCGAACAGTTTGCCCCGAAAGGGGTTCGGTCGGGCGTGTCTTCGGGTTCCCCTGATTAACTAGCAACCCTATTAAATATAAGAAAAATATTTCCCTTAATTTTTTTTCGTAGTTTTATCCGTTAGATATTTTACATGTTTTTAATAAGATGGATATTACAATGATTGATTTTCAATAAAAGAAGAATGCCTTACTTGAATTTTCTCGTCATTTTACTTGCGAAATTTTAATTTTTTTTAATAAAAAAACGATTGGCATTAGAGTGATTCTTGAATGTAAAAAATATATTTCATTTGTTTTTTTCCATAATTTTACCCGTGAAATTTCAACAAATTTTTTTATCATATACGGCGCCGTTTTTTTTTTTTTTTTGAAAATAGAATGAGCTAATTTTTACGGAGAAATAATTTCTTTCAATAAATCAACTTCATTGTTGAGTAGGAGATCATTCAGACTTAATGCATATTAAGGGTATGATTCTAATTGTTTTATATTTTTGATTTGGTCAAAGATTTCATTAATTTCCGGACAATCAATAGGAAAGTCAATCATTTTTTTTTTAATAAAGAAAAGGAAAGTTCAGTATAATTATGTGGGAGGAAAATCAGTTTTTTTTTTTTACAAAACGACGTCGTTTTGGTTTGGCGGAAAACGGATGCATGAGAGCGCGACACATAAGCCTTTTTTTCTCTTGGACTATTGTTTTAATAGGATAGATTCTATTTTTGCTTCCATTGACGTTTAATACTTCTATTTTGGTTTTTGATTTTTATTTTTATCATTTTTCATTGGCTGTAGAATCTTACTATATGTTAAAGGAATTTTTTTTAAAAGACACATGTCAGTCAATTACGTCATCGATAATTTTTAGGTACACGTGTCATATTCTCATTCGTTGAGAATTTTATGTGGTACACATGTCATCTTCTAATACTCAATTAAACTGTACGTTACCATTTTCATTTGATTCTTGAAAAATAAAAACAAAAAAGTAGGGGACATATTACTCTAAAATAGGATAATTAAATCAAAATTAGCCATCAAATCTCTGTTTAAAGAACCAAAAACTTATACTTATATACGTATACACATGATAAAAAAAATTTCATAGTCAAACCGGGATACAAAGTGAAATAAATCAGAGACTACATTCAAATATTAGCCAAACCGAGATAGTATATTTTAATTATTAAACTAATATATAATAAATTATATCACCGCACAACGTGCGGGAATAATACT